GGATTTAATAGGGATGTTCGAGCTGATGTGCCGAATGTAGATCTCCCAAATACAACTCCTGCTTTACGATATTCTTCCGGTGTCAATACTCCTGCTTTCTCCGAATTCTTCGAAGTACGCGGTTTTCCTGATGAACTAATGTTGACAGTTCACAGAAATGGTATCACAAAGATCAACACACTTCTACCAAATAATCGAATATAATCCAAACAAACGTTCAATTTAATTTATCGAGCTAATTGTAGCTTCAAAACCACCCCTCGCGGTGGGCTCCAGATAACGAGCTTGCCTCGTTTTTGTGTGAAAGAGAAAGGAAGGAATCTAATGGGCACTCCAACCAACCAATCTAATACACAATATGCGAGTTCACTGCTATCAAATTTATTTAATAGCAAGGGGTAGCATTGGCAAAGGTTCTGCAAAGCTTTGAGAGCTAAGTAAGAAGCTTTGATCAATCAATTTGAATCGTTCTAAGGATTCGATATATTCCTTTGATCAAGGTAGATTCAGCACGATTTGTGCTTTGGTTTGTATTGATTTGGGTATATCAAGAATTGGGGGTTTGAATCAAAGTAAATTAAAACCGAAACACACAGACCCCTACGGAGGGCTAGAACTATGTGCTGGCACAACCACACAGCGTGATTTGCCCTTAAGACCAACGACTGATCTTAAGTTCGAAGAATACCCAACAACTGGATAGACTTCTCGCAGTCACAAGGAGCAGAACACAACGTTCCTATACTCACAAGTGCCGGGCCCGAATGGCTGCTAGCGAAGAGGTTTCAGTCTGGCGGGAGTGTGTCTTTCCTTTTTACGGATTAGCACTGCAACGTTGTCCCAAAATCACTTGTATTCCAGATACATCGGATCGCTATTTATACATACAGAATATAGAGTCGCATAGTACAATTAATTTAATACAATAAACTTTCGGAACCGCCAGGAAACTTCTACACTCGGTCAGATACCATTTAATTTGAATCTACATGTCCTTATTTGGTCCATATTGGTTCCAAGATTCTAGTATACCTCCAAACATAGGTAGGTACTTCAATATTCATTTAATTTAATTGTTTTTAGAAAATGACTCGAATAGTGTTTAACTGTCATTGCTGTTCAACACTTACTTCGATCGTTGGTCACCTCGTCCGGAGGCAAATTAGCTCTCCTCGATTCTAATCCTATCAATCTGATTCATCTGGATTAAACTAATTGCTTCTCTCTTTCAATAGACACCCATTGTGCCTATACTCTATCAAGGGAGTTACGCATAGTATTCATTTAATTGCATTCTTCAATATTTTCTACGTCAGGACTCTTTGACACTCATTTGATATGTCTTCGGAGCCTCGCAGTACTTCGATCGTTCTTCTAGTCATTTTCCTCAAACATGCAACTTGATTGGTCTATTAGACTAAATCGCAGTCTTTTAGGTTAATGCATGATCTCGTTCTAGAAGGAGTATTTGATAATTCCTGAGTTCTAGAAAGTCATTTCGAGTCAATCCTCGGTTCATGGTCACTTGAGTAAGTTCTTCCAAACTCCTGCCAGTGTAAGGTCCAATAAGAATACCCTTGGTATGTCATATGTGAATGGTCATCCTTCGGATGTAGTCCGAGTCTGGTATAATCCTGCTTGACAAACAGGTAGACTGTCATCCGAAGGTAGTATCGGGGATGGGTAAACTAACCAACTTGTGGTAGTATGGGTATATGGTCCCTTCAACTTATTAGACTGATTCAGTATTGACTTTGACTGTCAATCTGGGTCTCAATTACAGTCCTCTTGATACAAATCTATACGTGAAAATGTCACAATTCACAGCATAGACGTCTAGCCAAAATTTAGGCGTGTCAACGTGGTGCACATGACTTGACATTCTACGTAGCTTTTGATTCCTGAAAATCTACTAAGTTCTTCGTCAGGCTTCTATCTGGTCAAACTGGGTATAAAGCGCTGAAGGTACCTACGAATAGATAACCTTATCGCAACATCGTTAGTATCAGCTCTTCTTTGCACTTAACCGGGCAACGTTCAAAGTAATGGAAAGTAAGCACCTCCTTTATAATGAATAGCATGTAATTTGGGACTTAATGCTATCTGACCATAGAGGTGACTTGCATGCTTGCGACGTCTCAGGAAGCCGATCTATCCAGCTTCCATGCGCTGATAGATAACGACGTCTTCACCTGCCTCAGTCATAGGCCGCACAACTTTCCCATCGTGCCCTCCCGAAGACAAAACCTGAATCCCAGTCCAAATAGCCACACTCCCCGATTTTTATACACCACGCTGAATGACTTCCTCGATACCCTTCCTGGGGTTCGCTCCAAGCAGCAACCCATTCAAATTCCATTTCTTGAAATGCCTTGACTATGGATTCAGTACCCTACCAATTGACAAAGACGGCCAGTCAAATTCTTACGCTCTCAGCTCGTCACTACAAGAAGATTGGGACTCGTTAGAAAGAAATATGTGCGCATTTCAACGTGCCTGTATGAAAATCAGCCGGCTAGCCATTCCTGACGATTTCCGCCTTTGGCCGCTACCAAACTTCTATGGGTATCACAAACGTTGGAGAACGGAAGTAGACGCGCGTAGGGCAGGAATGCGATCTCGTCAAGCGTTCATTCCTTTGATTGCCTGTATCTCGTTTTTTGTTCGAATGCTATATCATTTGGAGAACAAATGGGTTGATCTTGTCGCTTTGCACACTCCACCCAACGAGGACGACTCTTTCTTGGGTAAGAGACAGAAGGAGTATGCGGAACTTCACCGGGGGCCTGTTCCTGCAAAGTGGGAATGGCAAGAGCTACTTCGTAGGGAAACGTCAATCAGCTCTGACTGGCTTGCGTATTTTCACCAAATCATGGATATTCCACCAGTTGGTGCATTTGTCGATGTGCACAATTCCGGGTGTCTCCCCTGGCTCCCTGTATTCCTCGATTCCAAAATGCCTCTGATGTTATACTGGGGTCAAACTTGTGATTGGTCTATTCCAAAATTTTTCAACTTTGTGATCCCATTTCCCAATCCCGTCGCGTTTCCAATTCCCGATACTACCACGATTGACAACCTTACTGCGACACAAACCCCTTATCCGCCACCAATATCAGAAGGCCATTTTTTCAACAGCACAGAAGTATCTACTTACAAGCCTAAATTGCAGTATCCGCGTATCACTGGTGGAAGCTTTCCCCGTCACAATGAAGACATATTCACATTCATCCAACGAAGAGAAGTGTCAAGCCCATGCCTCGGGCCTCCATTCCGCCGCTCGGTATCCCGAAGATCTACCTTTTATTGTAATCTCTCCTTATTGTTCTTTCTCGCTACACATACCCATTCACTCTAGCTCCTTCTTATTGTCTTTTACTTTACCCTGCAGGACTACATGTATAACTCCTAGTAGTTAGTCTGGCGCTCCGCCCCGCTGCGCCGCTCCGTAGATATAAATACTGCTTGTACGCTACTGTAGTTCCTCAGTTTAATTATCAACTTAGATCTCCCTTCCCAACTTAACTCCTCTCTAAGTCTTCAGGCTCAATGCCTTGGAGTACTCTCTACTATAACCTTAGGACTTAGACGTTCTCTGGCTCGCTCCTCGTCACCGGCAATACCGCCGCTCCGACTTGGCTGCTTCTCAGTTCCTCCCTTCTCTACTCTCGATCTCCGGGGACTAACGGCGTAACGGCGGTGTTGTTAATAACTTCACTACTGTCCCACTCGTCTTCCGCACTTAGACACCTTGTGGCTTTGGCACGGTTATATGGTGTACATGATCTTAACAAGAAGCTCATAGACTCAAAGCTATCGCATCGGAAGCGGCATCCGAAAAGCAGTCTTGCTTACAGCGGGAAGAAAATGCTAGGAGAGATCGACCTCCGGGTCGGAAAGGTGCTCATGTCTATTACTGGGACCTTGTAGAGGGTATCAGGGTGCGGACAGCTGTTGGAAGGAGTAATTATGAGGATATCTGGGAGAGATATGGCCCAAGCCAACGGCGTTATGATTCTGTTGCTGATGAATGGGAGGTCTGCACGGACCTGGATCCTCACGGTGGTGATTTAGACTCCTTCGGGGATGACTCTGACGATGATTTTTTTATCTCTACACGCTCACAATCACATGTGGAAGCGGGCTATGACGTCGGCCCCGCTTCCTCATATGCTTATGTTGCTCGTCTTCAGCCTGCAAAGCACTTGCCCGTGGTACCTATAACCTTTTCAGAGGCCATCGAAGACGTTGCCCACCATCGATTCGGTCTTCTTAAACGACCCCTCCAAGACAATAGAGAAGTTGTGGTTCTACCTAGGCTTTGGAAGAAAGTATTGGGCTTGCTTGGATGTGGACGCCCGCCCGTACCTGATGGACCAGAAGATCATGTCAAGCTACAGATAATCAATCTTGTCATGCAATTGTTAGAGACAGTAGATCTACGGCATGCACCCCAAGAGTATGATTTGACCATCAGGAATGGGTCCTTGAGACCTCAGATTCTGTTCGAGGTTGATGTCCTGTCCTCGTACCACGGATACCATTTCTTAATACAGGCACAAAATGCTACGGATAATGAGCCATATCTAATTGCATTACACAGCGCAGCCACCGTTCTGGAAATAGCTCGTAGGAAGTGGGGTCCAGGAACGGTAGATATCATCAGGTGCTTAATCAAAGAGGGTTTACCATTCAATACTCTGATAGCTAGCTATCCTCCTCGAATATGCAAGGTGATCCCGCGCCGTCGACCTGCAGTTCTGGGTTTTCGTCCAGCATAATTTCTTCCTATTTCACAAGATTATCATGCATATGAGGTTGTTCGCGACGAGTTCCTACGCTCAGCTAGAGGTCGTGCTGCATTGTTAGGTGGAGGCATAGTTGCTCGATTAGCTCGTGAGATTGTTAATGAAGATGATGTCTGTGATGGACCTACTGTACATGCTCTGCAAGAAGGAGAGCATGCACTTTGTGTGTGGGAAATGGGCCGAGGCCGTGCATTCTGGGACAACCAACTGACGACTGAAGAAATGGATCTCATATGCGGTACATATGAGGTTGCTACAGGTATGTGTGTACTTTTTTCTCATGTCTATCTCTCATTATTTTGTTGAGGCATCATCTCGAAGGAGGGTGTACAACAGACTATAATACGATCCTGGTGGCCTCGTCCGAATTCATGGAGAACATGTGGGCTTAACTGTGGATTCTGGTCAAAAGATGCCAAAGATTGGTTTCAAAAGCGACTGACCAAAATCCACGAATCTACTGAGCCTGTGGTGCTGATGACTCCTCAAGAATGGCATACGCACTTGAAGTTTCAAAGAGCACACACACTTTCGAATAAGAATGATGCCCTTGCAGTCGAATATCTCAAGAAAGAATGCAACTTGCCGATCTGATGGGGAGGTATTGGTATGATCTTGGCATAGTGTATCCTGTACATACAATGCTGAATACATTTCACGGTGTTCTATGTTCTCATCGAGTATTCTAATAATGTGATCATCGAAATCCATTTCTTTGTATTGAACTTTACACTTAGTTGAACATGAATTTATGGCTCCTAGTAAGCTACTAACTCTCCGATAATGAGAATCATCTGTAACACGAATGAGACGCATGTGAAGGATCCTATAAAGATGATAGCATCAACTGCAACTTGTGGAATTTCGAACTTTTCAGCAATGAGTAATGAAAGCATTCGCTATAGTGTAACACCCACCTTGTTAGTGACTTTGAGTTGGACCTGCGTCGGGGGATGGTATTGAATGAGAATGAACAATACAATACTGCAAATCAGACTTCCGACAGCAACAGCAAGGGGTTGGTTCCAAAACATTGCATAGATCTTCTGGAGCGCTCTGATTAGGAAGAGCAGGTAAATCAGAGCACCCGCCTTGAACAAAATTCGGGAGAGTTGAAGGTCATCAACAATCTACTCGATGGAGGAGCATTAGTCCATGGCGTCAATGTAAGATAAGTACATACTCACAACAATGCTTTGAAACCATTTCAGGGGATCCGATCCTTCCGAAGGACATCCTGATCCCTCCGAAGGATGTCCTGACCCCTCCGAAGCATGCCCTCCTTTCGAATGATATCCTGGTCGCTCAGAAGGACGTCCTAATTCCTCTGCCAGACAATCTGATCCCTCTGAAGGACCGGCTGAGTTCTGAACAGGGCAACGTAAGACTAAATCTGCGGATGGAATGTATGTTCAAGCTCACATTCTTTCTGTGAGTATCGAGATTGTCCATCGTGTGTCCTAGTAGAGAGCTAGCTGAGTTCTATGATGGAAAATCGTCAGACATGCAACATTGACACAGAAAATGCAGGCACCCCCATCGGAGTATCAGTGGTCAATGATGAAGACGCTTTCGTCGGAATCTGATCTTTGATGCCACTCATGATAGGCTCTGTAGTCTTTGCAAGGCAAATGAGCATTCTTTGAGATCCATACAATCAGACACTCACCAGCTGCCTATATAGAGCTTCAGGGCTTGAAAGTATGAAAACATTCTCCATAGACTCGGGTATCTGACTATCAATGGGGGGTTTCGGAGTACTGGCTGGGTCCTATGAAGGCAAATATATCATAATGAGGTGTAGATTTTTCGGAGAGTCAAACTCGCCATATTTCCGAGGATTTGAGTATCGGTGGTTGACGAGATGGAAGCGCTCGTTGATAATCCAAGTATCAGATTCTCAATATCAGTCGTGGTAGGCCGTGGAGTACTGCTTGAGCCCTATGGAAGGTTATGTGCCCAATCGGAACAGAAACAGCATGCAACGCACTGTGTTCTGTAGTTGGAAGTCCTGTAAAATGCTCAGTCAGTGAACCGATCGACACAAAAACATTCAACTCAATAACATTCAGGATGCTCCGATCTGTGTCACTATATTCACTAGAGCGGCTACTATATCCTATCGTTTCATCCTCGCTGTCAATAACCTTGTCGTCGTCCCTCCAAGAGTGCGTTGGAAAGTTGGATGCCCGCTAACGGAGTATCAGTGTGTCGAATTATTGGGAATATGGAAATTACCGGCGATGGAGCATATACTCCATGATGAGCAGGTGGCTCTTCCTCTGTATTCATGAGTACAGACCAACCTTCACTATCGCGAATGAGAGTTTTTGGTAAGATTTGGTTCATTCAGCCTCGCGTACAGCATGCGGGGCATGAGCTTATATGACATAACATGACAGACAGTGTGCTTGCTTGAAGAGGTCTGCGATGCATATCATACGTAGAGTCGTCTCAAAGAGTTACGACGCGACAGACTTGTGCCATGGTATCAGGTGATGGAGTACGACAGCTGACCATGAGCAATCACAGATATTTCTAATTCGGACTTCCTTCTCGTCTCCTTCCTTTACTGCCTCTTCATGCCGATTCCACGAGTCAAACTACGTGGTTTCGGCATAGCTTCAGGTCGCAAAGAACTCTTACCATACAAGGCCATTATAGGACAGAAGAAAAACACGACATAGCTCATTTTGCTGCACTAGCAGACTCTGTAGAACCTAATGTCGAGCCTGTGGCGGGTCGCGACCTGGACCGCTTTGCACTCCGGTTTCGATACGTTGTCAACGTGCTATTCAGAACCCAACTAGGTTTCCCCCCAGAAGTTAACTTTAGTGACCTCGTTGCAATCTTGGGGTGTGCGAACTGCTCATTCTCCAGATCTACAGCCCGCCACCAGAGCTCTCGTTCGCTACCTTTGTGATTGCACCAGACCCAGATTTGATAGCCCCCATCTCTAGTATTCCTGTGGACATATATCGTCCCTAAAATCCTGGGAGTTGTGGTCTCAGGCGGAGGAGCGTCGAGGTCATTCGGTGACTGACTAGAGTGCCAGGCTGTTTCTCCCTCGCTATCATGCGATCTGAACCGATTCATCTCCAACTTTGTAGGTCCATACGAGTCGTCCGCAGCATTGCTCATACGAGGTTTCCCTTGCAAGAAGTACTTTGGAGGCCGCGCTGGAGGCTCAAAGCTAACTGGGGTAGATCCCCTGACAGCATCCTTGGCAGAGCCTAATTGACATCGGTACAGAGCCTCAAGGAGAAGATGGCTCACTGACTGGGGATTTCGGTCTTCTTAAGAGCTCCCTTTTGAGGAGGGGGAGGCCTCGCTCGTCCTCTTGTCCTCCTGCATTGGATTTCAGTGTTCCTAAAACCAGTACAACATGGTATCGCATTGGCTCACGATTCCTCTACGTCTGCTGGGTTGTGATATATCTTTTGGATGATCCCATCACCATCCAGATAATAGCTGCAATAGTCGTATGTTTGCCTTCTCCACCATCCAGAGGGCTATGAATTGTCAGCGTTAATTCGCAATCAAGGTTGGTCCAATCGACAAACAGTAGGACTTCCTGTTTCCGAGTCTGCAGTGCTGTCTGGTTCCATCAGGGAGCGGTTCTGTGACACCCACGAATTCTACTTCCACTTTTATTTCCACGTGAGTTATTGCCATATGCAACGCGCAAGAGTTTCCTGACGTTTTTGATACCCACGATAGGAGATCAGAGCCAAATTTCCACAGTGACAGGTGGCTAATTTCACTCCATCGCTTCATCAATGCAGCAGGCTATCAGGCTTTACCGTTTCTTGCTCGAACTATTTGTGCCGTTACTCCACTTTCGAGTTCAACTTGCTCGTGAAATGGCTCGCCGTCATAGAATCAATTCTGGGAATTCGGATTTGCAGCCGTGTCGTTGCCAAGACTGTCTCAAACAAAATCCAGATGGATTACTGGTCCCCCAGTCCGCTCTTACTGAGCATCGGCATCAGGAACGTCTCAGGAAAACTTTACTCAGTAGGGCCGACAAGCTGCAAACGGTGTCGACATCGCTTGGTGTAGTACCAGAGGCTTCAGGGTCTGACATTGCACCCGAGTCACCGTCCCCTTCCGAAAACCATCTTCTCAGCGGAAGCAACCATCCACATCCAAATCGACCTGGCGGAAGTTATAATCCTATCCCAGGTTCAAATGATGAGGACACCGGTGGCTGGTTACAATGCGTAGTATCCGAAATCCGCATGCGCTTGGAGACTCTATACGATTGCGAAACTCGCCTCACCTTCATCAAAGATCCTTCTCCGAATATCCTTTTCGTATCGTCAGATCCTGAAACCCTTCTACAAGTGAACTCTGGCGACTTCGCTCTGAAAACTACTGTTATCGCCAACAACCGCTTTTTGGATACAGAGGCAAGGTTTTGCAGCCTGCTCAAGTCAATTCAAACATCGCCGCTGGATCAGCGCTTAGTTGGGGATGCAGACGTTGGTGAGGAGCTTTGCGAAGCATTGGACAAACTCCATCGCATAAAGGAGAGACAATGGATATTACAGGCCTACCCTGACGGATGTGATGGATCCACGGTTAACAATAGTATGTGTACTACCCCATCATCAGTCGCATTGACTAAATCTACTTAGGTCGTCGCTTTTCTCAGAGGCAAATGACAGATGCAACTCCCACCCTTGTAGCCGCTCTGATCATGCATGTCAAATTCCGGAGTCCAGTTCGTCATATGCGGGTAAATCTTGCACTGTTGCGTGGCATCATCGGAGGGTTTATGAGAAGAAACGGGATTCAATCAAGAGTTCCATTCCAGATACCGAAGGATATACACACTATTGTCCACCAATATGATCTCAATCCTACTTTACATGTCGCAATTGCATGCCCGAAATGTTATGCATTGTCCCCGTTCACTGACGAGGCCCTTAAAAATGCTGAGAACGCACATGAAGCACACCTTCCTTTCCCTGTGTGTGAAGAGAGATTACACCCGGATTCACCGCCGTGTGGGACTACATTGTGGCACACTCGCCATAGTGGAAAGCGTTTATTCATGGCCCCGATTAGAAAGCAGGTCTTTCAGGATCTGAAAGAATGGATCGGGAGAATCTTAGCTGTTCCAGGCATCGAAGATGCTGTCGTAGAGCATCAGCAACGCCCATTCCCAACGAGGACTGACTCAGAAATAGACTTCGTGGATTCTGTTGTCTTTCGTGGATTCAGGGGCGTAGATGGGCAGCCGTTTGTAACTTCTCGGAAAGGACCTGCTGAAAATCCGGATCTACGGCTTGTAATGAGTCTTGGCTTTGACGGGTTCAATCCATTTGGGCAAAGAGAAACTCACGCTCAGATCCAGTCCACGGCTTTGTACATAGTAATTCTGTCTCTACCGGAGCATCTTCGATATTGACAAGAGTATATGTTCCTGGTCACTGTCATGCCCGGAAAACCCAAACAACACCACGTCAATCATACCTTACGGATTCTGGTCAAGCAATTGCTGGCCTTCTGGGAAGGTGTGTACTACACACGTACAGCACGTCATCATATCGGTCGAAAGGTTTTTGTAGTCCTGCTTCCCGTAGTTTGTGACACGGAAGCTGCAATTCAGATTTCGGGCTTTGCTGCGCACAATCATACCTACTTCTGCAGACGATGTCTCCTACCAATCAGTGATATCCACAACCTTAATCCAGAAACTTGGATCATCCGGGACCCTGTGAAACATAGGGAGCTGGCCTTTGAATGGAAGATCGCTTCACGGGCACGATGCGAAGCAATCTACAAGGCTCACGGAATTCGGTTCACAGAACTGATGGAACTGCCGTATTGGGATCCCATCCTTTTCACTGTCATCGACGACATGCATTTTGGATACCTTGGCCTTTTCAAAACCCACATTCGTGAAATATGGGGTATTGATCATGAGAGGAACAGCGGGGATGGACTTCATCCAGATATGTCCGACAAAAAATGCATGAAGTTGTCTAACGCAAGCTTACGCAATTTTTTGAATGAGATTCGAGAAAATGAGCAGTCTTTAGGGGATATTTTACTGGGAGAGAAGAGAGGGGTTCTCTGGTACCTGTGCTTCTATCTCAAGCTACGTACAGGACTCAGCAGCAAGCAACAAATGGTGGACCAGATTTTGCAATGGGTGAGTTTTGAATCTCATTGACTACTAATGGGCAATTAACTATGTACAGCGTTTGATCGTTGAATCTGCACAAGTACCTGAAATCCCTTCTCTTGACTATGATCAGGTCCCGGATGGTTGGGAAGGCGATAACTCGATGGAGACGGTGGGTATTTTCTTTTGTACACTTTTGCTGGCTCTAGCTTCTCTCATTTTAGCGTAACGCCACGGCTGAAGTCCCAGAATCCGGTGCTTCCGATGTAGTATGTTCGTTTCGTTCTCACAACTGATTCACATACTGACTGATTTGAGAAGTCTTTGAACTCGAGGTCTTCATCAAGAGCTCCATCGGTGGCTTCATCGGTTGCACCATCTATTGCTTCATCAGTCGCAAGTGCGGATGTGCTACCACCCGCATTGCGGCCTGCACCACCTTTTGTCTTCACTAAAGACTTGGCATTTGAAAAACTCAAGTCCAAATTACTCAATCTCGACGCTAGGCCCCCCTCACTTGACAAGAAAAAAATTATTCTTCGAGCGTTGTGTCAAGATCTGAATATACTCTACAACCTAGATGACTCGAATAAAACCCTTGCTAGACGACTCATGGTCTATGTATGTATATCTCCTGAGCTGCATTGAATACATTCTGAGTATCTCTGAATAGCATCAAGAAAACGGAGCCAGGGATGATGAGGATTCTTCGCAGACGCGGTACAACCAATTCAAACGGATTTTCGAGGAGGATGAACCCTCGAAGTCCATAATGATGTCTCAACTACTCAAACATCTTGAGAAACTTTGTATTGAGTATCGAATACCCCCATTTGACTCCAACATTTCCGGTGGCTCGTTGAAAAAGGAGAAATTAGCACGATGGTTGATATTGTGGGTCAGTTTACTTGCAATATCCTTGTTTTTTTAGCTGTCATTCATTTACTTTCACAGTGTCAAGAGCATCGTGACAGTATCCTCAAACAAACTTCTCCTCGGAATGTCATTGGGAAGGATCTTCTAGCAGAAATTTGGGCCGATATGGCACGTTCTGTGCTTCCCAGTTGGATTCAACCAGCACCTTCAAGATGGGGTATTCCTTCTGCAGGCAAGCTTAGTGCTGATGAATATAAAGTCGTATGCTCGATCTCTTTAGTCGTGACCCTGATTCGAGTATGGGGCTATGGCAATAAAGAGCAACCACAATCTCGTCATTTTCAGATGATGCTGAACTTTTTGGAGCTGGTCTGTGGCATGCATATCATCTTCCTTCGTGAGACATCTCAGAGCTCAAGAGCCTACTACAAAGCCCGTATCCTGAGTTATCTACATGGTGTTCTAGAGCTGTTTCCTGATGTCACCCTTGCATCGAACCACCATCTCGCACTTCATATTATAAGTGACTTGGAAAACATGGGCCCAGGCCATGCTCGGAGTACCCCTGTATTTGAGCGCATCAATCATCTGTTGCAAGAGATAAAAAAGAATGGGCATTTAGGTGAGCTCATCTCTCAAGCATGCCTTCTTATTTTACTTATAGTACATTCTAGGGGAGGTTGAAGGCACGATGATGAAATCGTATGGTCAAATAGCCAATCTGCAGTTGTTACTGAACAACTATCCGGAGATCCGGGAAGAGATTGGTGAAGCCTTGACGATGCTGACCGACATTGATCGTGAAGATCATCGTGGTATTTTTGCTGGTACTGATTTATCGGCCTGGTCCAGTACCGAGTTCAATGAGACCCCTACTCGTATCGAGAGGCCGACTTTGGATCGCATTGTGCAGCAACTGTGCAAGATGTATGGTGTTCAAGCCTCGCACTGGGATGGCAAAATAGCCCGACAAGCCCATATTCTAGGTGGAGTGGCACTTGGACGGGTAATTTACTCCACTGGGTATCGTCAAAATTCCATCATCTTCCGCAACGAAGGAAAAATACTCGCTGGTACAATCGATAGAATCATCAAACACACTCATCCTCATCCTGTTACCCAGAATCTGATTGCAGCTACGTATATTGAGGCCATTGTCATGGAACCGATCAGCAAAGAGGATGATTTATATCGGTCACTCAATTGCGGGTGGTTATGTTTACAAATACCAACGACGAGGAGAACTTCGACTGTGCTGTTGTCAAATGTGATCTCGCATTTCGTCAGGACCGATTTGACATTACTGGTCAAAGAAAATTCCGTCACACATGTGTACCCTGTCCCAAAGGTATGTGTATGATCTTCTCGATTGTTTTGTCTAATTCTGATGTTCGGTCACTGAGGTTTTCCGCGACAATGATTCAGGAATGCCCACCCCATTGTAGTTAGTACAAAGTGTTTGAAAATATAATCAGCTATTGTAGCCATTCACCTCCCTCCCTTTCATTTAAGTGATTCAGCTTTGTCTTAGAATAAATGTCTTTCTTGGGACACACTATTGGTCATTGTCTTCATACCTACACTAAGAACACGCTCAGACCTCTGATGATTTTACTTATAAGCTATCAGCCCTCAGACTTGATCCTTTCAATTCCCCTCGCCTAACAACACCGTTGATCATGAGTTCGGTGAGTGCTACATTAAAGCCACTTCCTTGACTGCTCTCCAACTTTCTTTGATAGAAAGTTCGTGTAATATCAGCCAACACGATGCGCTTGAGGCTACTAGAAGAACAGGCCTTACTCAAACACAAAGAAGTTGTTCAGCTCCGTGGAGTAGTTCAACGGCTGCGTTCACAATATGTGAGTCTTCAGTTTCTCGCTGATCCTAACATCCGTTAACTACCCAGTACAGGAAGCGGAAGTTGATACGGACCATTTGAAATGCGTATTCCACGACGTGACGGCCTCAGTACATCAATTAAGAACGGAGATTCTGGCTTCCCTTGGCTGCAACACGGTCGACGACCAATGTGTGAAGGCAATCACAACTAATGAAGTATGTGTCTACATCAGTCCTTCTGATACCTCAACATCATCTATTCTAGGCGAAATACTTTTGGTATTTTGTGGACGGCGTGAAATTGACTTCCGAAAGGTTGAAAAACGCTCCCGTACGTAGTCTCCCTTAGGCTTTTTTGTCCAACTAATAAAACCTTCCTTAGTCTTCATTGTCCTCTTCGCCTGAACCGCTTGCACCAAATATATCTGCCTCAGATTTGACTGTGTTGCTCGTTGAACAGTCTTTGAAACTTGATGAGTTGGCAGAAAGTTTACGCACTGGTGTTGTTGAAAAACGTCTCTGTAAACAGTGCAATCAACTCTCTCATCTGGCGCGCACGCTCAAGTGATACATAATATGGTTGTTGAAATATAATGATATTTTGCCGGCTGAAAGGGTGCGATGATATAACAAACGTCTCGAGAGAATACCTCGACAATGATCTATCCAGTTATGAAGCCACTGCGTATGACAAAAAAACTCGATGCACCCAATTTTCCGAAGTGGGAACATATACGTTGACAGAGATGCATATGAAAATGAATACATCATCGTGAAGTGGACATTACAAATTGCCAATAAAGTACCGCATTGCGAAAGTTACCGCTAAGAAAACCACTGCTCCTAAGTCTCCGATGAGGGAAAGTATGGACCACACAGCAAAAGTGCAGATGAAAGCACCTGCGAGAATTGTGACGTCGACAGCAGCTCGCAAGATACCCATACCCAGTCATGAAAATGAGTATATTCAACAGGGACACATATACTTATGATGCTTACAGTCTCTTTGACTTCACTCGCAGTATTGCGTTGGACAAAAACATATGTCGCAACACTTGGAACCACGAATCCGACAGCGACGGAATGGGACTGACTACGAAACATTACTGATAGCTTCCAGAGCATTTTCAATGTAAACAACAAGTAGCTCAAGATGCCTGCATTCAGCAGGATTTTTTGAAGTCCCAGATCAATCACCTAAACAGAAGATTTAAAATGAGCACGTTATATAGGACGATTCTGTCACGAAGCGGCAGAGGCGGAGTGACTAACGGAGCGGGGAAGCGGAGCGACTAAGCAGAATGGCGAGGTGGAGCAACTGAACAAGGCAACAAGGCGGAGCGACTAAGCAGAACGGCGGCAGGCTGGTCCCAGATAATGACAGAGATATATTGAGTATTGTAGTCATAGGTAATAATAAGTAAGCACATACCTGGTCCCAGATAATGACAGAGAGGTCAAGATAAGGGACCAGGCTGTGGAGGGTTGGCTATATATACATAATCCGGTCTGCAAGAAACAACGATGTAATACTGTACAGTTTAGGAACAAGGAAGGTGGCGGAAGCCAGTAGAAGGAGAAGATGGGTCAGGTGGATCAGTAATCGATGGGGGTTTGACAGTGATGGGATGATGTATCGTACAAGTAAAGGCGTCGAGACGGTGAGAAAAGGAAAATGATAGGGGCTGCGTACTTTATGACAGATTCCGACACTTACAAGTTTATTGAAATAATCCCTACTTCTTCTGCGAGTAGTACTCTGAGACAGTGAATTCAATACTTTTCTCAGAGAAGGATCACTCTGTGCAGGCGATTGTCTTGACTGAGAGCTGAGTAGCGTGTCAAAAGAGTCGGGGATCTGATCCGGCTCCGGGTCCTAGAAAACTGTCAGCCAACGATCTTTGAGCCAATATGATGGACAATACCAGTGACCGCTGGTTGATTGACCCCTCTGGATGTTGTGGATCCATACCAGGTTGACAATGCAATAATTTTAGTGGCTTCTCTTGGAGATTGGATTTAAGAAGGACAGTTGAGGGGCCTCATGTAAGACACGTGCAGTATTAAGTGACAAACACTTGTATATGGAGCAAGAAAATGCAAGCGAAAGCCTTCGCATCAGTCAGAATATGTATGTAAGACAATATCAAGTTGTAAGACCTGGGTCAAAATGGGTCTTAGGGTAGGTTTGGTATATGAAGTTTTATGTTGTAGCGTGCTAGGAGCAGGCTGGAGCTCGAAGGGAGCTACGAGAACCGCGACCGAGGACGGGAATGACCTAGTAGTGTCTGGAACGACGAGATGATGACCCTTGAGGGGGTCCCTAGGAGGTCCAGGGAGGTCCCTAAGGCGTAGGGAGGTTAAGGAAGAGTGCGGGACCGTACAGTATTGCGTAGTAGGAGTTGTACTCGCTAGAACGTCAATATAGGATCGAGTAGGTCGTATATGCAACTGGGTCTCGAGAGTGTAAGCTCCCGAGAAGGGATATGTCAGGAAGGGTAGGTCCCTGGGGGCTGAGCTTGAGGATGGACGTCCTCGAGTGTGGGAGGTGGTAACGGAGAAGCAATACGTAGTCCGACGTGAGGGGTAGCTTCGACGTTACCTAGATCGAGGTCCTGAAGCTTACGAAGTACCTAGGGAGCTCTGGGAGGTTTGGGGGAGGGTAGCTCACCAAGGCGGGTAGGCGTTGGGGAGCTTTAGTAATGTTCGAGGGAGCTCGGGGACTCACTCGGAAGGCTTAGACTTGAAGTGAAAGCGTATATTTGATCGTATAGATGATCAGAGAGACAATAGACAGAAGTAGAGAGAAACAGAGGTAGAGAAACAGAGAGTAAAGAGAAATCCGTATGGTTAGCAGGTACAAAGGGACAGGGACTGGACCTATGCAAAAGGGTGTGTGTTCAAAATATACCAAGCTGGGGCTTCGGGACGTATCAGAGCTACTTAAATAGGTACAGGAAGTGATCAAGTGAACATCAGGGGCCATGAGGCATGTAATCGAGATTAGTATCTTAATGGGGTAGGTGTAGGAGGGCTTCGACGCGTGTTGGGGGAGGTTTAGGAGCTGTCTTGGATAGGTACAGGCGTGGATCTGGGGAGGTACGGGCGTGGATCGGTACTGAGGGGTGAGAGTGTTTGGCTGATACTGGGGCTGTCCTGGTCGTCACCATTAAGAGGGCTGTGGATAATGGTCGAGGCATGACATTACCCCCCTCTTAGTCCTCCGCGCCCTCGAGGAGGACCTGTCGCGTACCCGTGGGAAATCACCTGATGAGCACGTGGTGTTTTAGAAGCTTTTTTTTCATTGAAGTCCTTCCTTCTTTTTCACTACTCTTTCTCGTCTACAACTTCGTGTTCCATGAGTAAAACTTGTGTCAACATGTCTTCTTCGCCCTCAAAAGCTCCCTCTGCCGCTGGTCCTTCTCGGTTATCCCTACCTCGCTCGTCTTCCGAGGGGGAGGTTGAACAAGACCAACTGGCATTTACGATCGAGTCGCCCTCAATCCCCCAACTCCAGTTGTTCGAGAACATCTTCAATACCGGAAAGTCGCTGGCGGCCTACTGTTGGGATGACCCCCTCTGGTCTACCTTGGCGGCTGTGGCCCTGCCCTGCTCCAATTGCACCAAGCATCCTGAAACCTGCAAGGTTCCTGAAGGTTCCCCTCGGTGTGCATTCTGCACTGGTAAGAAAACTTGCAGCCTAGGCAAGCTCCTTCGGCACCGTTATTTTGCTCGTCGTTGCAATCAAGATTTGGCCTACAGCCGACGATTTTTGGAGATGCATGGTACTCCGGCGCAAAGGGTGTCCTGGACCATTCCGGGAGCCATTTGGCGTAGGTATGATGAGGTGCTGCATTCGAGCACATCCGCCACGAAAGTCCTAGTGGAGCTGAACATGCTCGATGAGCAGGACAGTCGAGCGATAGATAGGTCCGAACTCAGGCGCTTCCAAGAAGCTCAGGAGCAGGAGACTTTGTTAGCTGCCAAGAGGAAGCATGTCAACGACCCTCCTTCGTCAAAAGTTCGTCCCAAGAAAAGGCGGTTAGCGAAAGTTGTTGGGGAGCGCCGAGTGGAGGAGCCTGTAGTTGAGGAGGTTCCCCGACTGATCCGCCTGGTCATCCCGCCCTCGCGCCTCGCGCCTTCTGATCCAGGTTCAGCTCCGTCGGCCTCCCAGCATCCGTCTGTGGCCCTTCCCTTGGTCTCCCCTCATGCGACTGGGCGGCTTGGTTCGGTTCAGGACCCTCCTCCCTTGGCTCGATTAGCTGACCTTGTGGATCAGCGAACCGGTTCCCAAGCGGAGGTGTCTACCTGTTCCTTGGGACCAGGTTTTTCCAGTATAAAGGCCTCCCGCGAGGACCCAGCTGTTCCCAAAATGTCTCCCGTCGTTCGTCCTCCACTTATTCCTCGCATCCTCTCTCAGCATCCCTATCGTGTGGAAAATGAACGTCTTGCTGCTCGTGTTTGTCTGCTGGAGTCCCAGCTGGCTTCTTCCAGACAGGAGAACGCCACTCTTACCTCTGCTCTTCGTGACACTTCCGTTTCCTTGGAAGCTCGTCAGGGCGAGTTAGATCAGCTCCGGGAGTCCGTGTCTTCTGCAGCTCAGCAGCAGGAGCTACACAATCGTCTCCTGGATCAGGTTGAGACGTTGAAGCATGCCTTGCCTGGACCTCCTAATGAAGTATGTCATCACCTTTTTCCTTAGTGATCAATTGCTCATTTCTCTCCCAGTCTTTAGTGGATAGGTTTCGGGCACTAGAGGAGGATCTTCGTCTTGCTCGCGAGAGTCGGGCCAAGTATTTGTCCCGTTTCGAATCTTCGAACAGGCACAACGAGGAGCTTGAAACGTCCTTAGTTCAGCAACAATCCTTGGTGGACGAGTCGAATGCTCTGGCTGTTCGGCAGCGGAAGAAAATCGAAGCCCTGCAAGAGGAGGTCCACCGCTTCCGGGAGCGTGCTCTCTTCGCAGAGAAGATGATACGCGAATATCCCGAACAGGGATCTTATTCTGTCTCCCTCCCTCCTTTGTCGGAAGTGCACGGGGAGTTGAACGAAGCCTTGGCTTCCCTTCGTCGTGTCGCCACCTTCGCCCACCGACTCTTCCGCTGTGATCCCACTTCCGTCCTCCACCAGCACAATCGATACGTGGGTGTGATTATTGATGCGGTGATCTCGTTCCTTCAACGTGGTTTGGATGCCTCGGACAAGGACGTGCTCGCCCTTAATCTCCAGCTTGCACTCCAGTACATGGAAGCTGCCCATTTCATTCACGCCGAGCTCCACCTTCGATCTCTCAGTAGCATCCAATGGTTCTTTGCTAATGCTGCTGAGAGGGAGGAGGGTATCTATCGTCTCGTTCTCGCCCATTCTCGTTTCTCGGACGACGCCCCCTTTCTCAACGTTGCGCAGCATGCCGGCTTTATTGCTCTCTTCAGCGACTCTCTCGAACCCCCTCTGCATTGCCGCATGTTTGCTCTAGAAACGGCTCTTCCTTATCATGGCGCTGGTAATTGGGAGGACCTCGTCCCCGCAGTTCCTAGTTTGGATACTCTTATGCAGGAGTGGGAAGCA